TGGGGTCCTTTTAACCAATGAGAAGTCAAGTTTGAAAAAGTGAAGTGATGATTGGTTAAAGTTGATTTGGAAGAAGAGCACATTTTTCCGTAGGGGTGAGTAGCAAATATGGAGGATTCCATTAATATTATCAGAAGGCTTTTTATTATTTTTGGTTAATTATAGCTGTTTAGTCTGTGTGAAGAAAACTCTACAAACATTTTTAAATTTCGTTGTCCACCTGGCACAAGGTCAATAATAACATTCTCATTAAGTGACAAAACGACTCTTTTGTATATGAGAAAGAGATATTTGAATTTATATACAGAAATTTACATTTGTTGTTGTAAAATTCAGAGAGATGGTATCTTTTGGAACTTTTTACGTTTTTCTTTTGCTTGCTCTTGTTATAGACAAGCGTATGGTTGCAAGAAAGAAATACGACAACAGCAGAAATAGATTTACGTGATTTATTTCAACAGGTTTGGGACAGCTACCTTGTGGTAAAGTTCATAAGCCGGCTTCGAATCTGGGTTGAGCTCTCATAGTAGTTCATACTGGTTGGCGCTGGCGCTCCCCCTGCTGACCGCTCAGCCTAACCGTGACAGGTCTCTTCCCTGGCCTCCTGTTGACTGCGTTGTACTTCCGTGTGACCCCTTTTATGGCGCTTTTTTATGGCTTAACAGGCTCGAAAAACGACGCGAGTATAATTAGAAGGGAAGCATTTTTATTGGTCGAAAAATAGAAACACTTTATTTTATTTTTCGACCGGAACTCGCACGTCGGGAACATGCGTAAACGAAGATAATGGTCATTTTGTGACGGGGGCTTATCCCGTTCACATCCGGCTCTCGCTCTTGAGTATGTTAGTTTATTTCCCTGTAAATCAGCCGAGATATGTCTTATTTTATTTTATAACACTCTCAGGAAAGTTTCACTACTTTCTTTTAAAAGGTATTGTTCCTAATAATTTCTATGACAGTGAATATTACACAAAACTGTCTTTTGGTTTGGGACATTTCAGTCAATGTAAGATTGGATGTTTTTATTTGTATTTTTTTTTTTTTGTAAATTGTAAAATACTGTTCTTTTAAAACAAATCAGTAAATTTTCGCAAGAATATTTTTATAAAACAAACAAAGTTGTCTGCCTTTAACTGTGAATGGTTTTGTAGAGAGGTTTCCTTTTTTATATGCTCGTTACAATTACATCACATATTAAGAAATAGAATTTAAAATAATAAATTCGGCAATGAATGAATTTAACACTTCTTTGTTCTGCCACTTTAATATAACACAACTGGCTCATATATATTGTCACAAAAAAATGACACACTCACTCAGATTGTAGTAGGATTTGGTAGTAATAACACCATACAAAAATATATACTTTCCTCTTTACTAAGTGAGTGACAAAGAAAACTCTCTCTCCCTCTCTTCTATTTATTTCCTTTCCTTTCCTTCCTTCTATTGTTCCTATCCTCGGTAATGGACATGAAACCGAACTTAGTTTATGAACGTCATAAAAAAATCAACCAATGACAACACGTCCAGTCAAAAATCAAGCAGGAAACACAGATGTGTCAGCCCCAATAAAAAGAAGAAAACCACGTATGAAAAAAGAGACACTGCAGTGAAAAGGAACTGATTCAAGGTAGTAGTTCGAAACACAAGAGTTGATGATCCATCAGCTGTGAGTTGGACCTTATGCAAAACACCAGTAGAGAAAGAAGAAAGGATGAACAACAAATTAATTTCCATCAACCAGAAGAAACACAACAACCCTGTATGAACTCTCAAACCACAAAAAACTATTATGATTGTCAACCATTTTAAACACTGTAACCCAATGGAGTCAACAATAAATGGTACTGTAGACAATAAATTTGGCTTTTACTACATCTCTATATACCATAAGATAATTGCATCATAAATGTAATCATGCAATTTGAAACTTAATACCTTCTTATTGATTCAAATGCACAAAAATGAACATTAGTGAATTATAATAAATAAGCAGAAAATAAATGTAAAAATTACACAACACTCATATAAAATAAGAGTTTTAATTAAAACAAACAGTAAATTTCATTTATTGTGTCGATGATAGTCTTATCAGACCCAACTGGGTTGGGTTCCTTTTCTGTGCACGAATGCACAATAGATTTTCTCTCGGTCACAAAGGAAAGAGATTGCCTAGTGAGTGAAATCAAAAAGAAGAAGAGAAAAGAAAGATCAAACATGTGCCTGGTATTTATAATCAGCGTTGTCACGTGATAGGCTCTGAAGAAAGAAGCGCAAAATTTTGACTTGGTCATGTGCTGAAAAAAGACTTGTGCGTAGGTGGATTGCAATGTCCACTTGTGTGTCTATTGACCAATTAGAGGTTGAGGTTTTCTGAAAATATGTATGAAGCTGGATTAGCTCTGTGATCCACTTTTTGCATAGATTTGCACAAAAATCGACATTGATAAAAAAGTGGTAGCAGGGTGATAAAATATATATATATTTTAAGACATTGTTATGTTTATACATTCTTTTTATAGATACAAATATTTAAGTAAATTCTCTGTTTATAATAAACAGTATTAAACAACATTTACCGGCCTGAATGTCTGAGAAATTTTCATAGAAAATATTCGTCTTCCGATAAGATTCGAACCTGTATCCTATAAGGAACCGTCATTTAGCTTGACGTGCCTTTAACCGATTTGGCCACAGAGGAGCGTTCGGTTAGCAAGGTCGAATTTACTGTATTTGAACTTCAATCTTCTATGAATCTCTCACATACATTCATATCTGCTCATGGCGTATCAAATGTAAAGGCATGTATATATATATATATATATATATATATATATATATGTACACACACACACATACATACCCCCCATACACACACATACACAAAATATACTATAAAACAAAAATAAAATTTCTAAAAACACTAGGGGATAAAAAATATAAAACAAAAATTCTAGAAGCACTAAGGGATAAGAAAAACACTAAGGGATATGAACAGCTACAAATTAATCAACACCAACATAGAAAAAAATATTAAAAAAATGACAAAACTTAGCATGACACATAACAAAATGTTAACTAAAAGAAAAGGTTTTCCTAATAACTTTATACCAAAAACAAGTAATTCCTATGGTCTACCAAAAATTTACAAATCAAATGAAATAAAAGCAGCTATCCAGACACAAAAATCTGAATACATTAACATCCCAAAACCCAGTGACATAACATTCAGATCCATAGTAGCAGGACCAGCCTGCCCAACTAGAAGACTCAGTAACTTAATAAACACAATGCTACAACCATTTACTAAGCAGATTAAAAGCTACATCATGATGATATCCACTTTCTTAGCTCCCTACCCGAAAAAGTTAATCCAGGAACACTTATGGCTACTTTTGACATCAGTATAGCAATATTCCCCATGAATTAGGTAAACAGACAATCTCATTCTGGATTGAAAAACATCCAGAAACACTACATCCCAGATTTATTCAGGAATTCATTATTGATAGTATAGACCTAATTCTAAACAATAACACCTCTAAATTAGACAACAAAAACTATATCCAAACCCTGGATACTGCAATGGGAACAAAAATGTCACCAACATATGCCACCCTAACATTAGCTTACCTAGAGGAAAACCTATATGAACAGATAAAACAAATATATGGGGAAAATATAAAAACCCATTTCACTAAATCGTGGAAGTGATACTTAGATGATTGCTTCATTTTCTGGAACTCCTCATGGGGCGATATTAACCAATTCCCCACGGTACTTCAGAACTTACACCCAAAATTCAAATTCACCCAAGAACATAATTTTATCAAATTACCATTTTTAAATATACTCATTAGAAATAGAAACAATCACATAATAACAGATATCTACCACAAACCTATAGACACCCAGCAATATCTTCATTTCAAGAGCCATCACCCAAAAAGCCGTTTGAAATCCATCCCCTATTCCCAAGCTCATAGAGTTTGCGCTATAGTAATGGACAAACACCTCAGAAAAACCCGCCTTGAAGAACTATAAAGAACTCTAAAAAAATGAGGCTACCACGCAAAACTAATAAACAAAGAATATTTCTTCTTTTGGGAAAATACTATACTAATTGTACTATATCATTTGGAAATCACTCCACAAAGGTAAATCAGATAACATTACAAAGATACATAAAGCTTACTTACATAAAGCTTGTTGTCTAAATACATAGCTAAGTAAACTCCAACCTTGTGTCACAAGAGAATGTGACACAAGGTTGGATAGATAGATAGATAGATAATGAACAGACTGTGATAGATAGATAGATAGATAGATAGATAGATAGATAGATAGATAGATAGATAGATACATATGAACAGACTTTGATAAATAGATTGATATGAACAGACTTTGATAGATAGATAGATATGAACAAAATATGATAGATAGAAATACATGCATACAAAGGAACATTTCTTCACATTTTTTTCAAATCGTTATTTCATTCTTCTATTTGTTTGAGATGCATGTTTTATTATTCCTTTGTATTTTTTAACTAATTCATATTTCAGAAAAATCATAATCTGATCTTTAATTATATAATAGTTGTAATTAACAACTACTATATAAACTACATAATTTTATAACATTTTAAAAACTAAAAATCATTATACAGACAGAGTGATATTTGAAAAGTCATATATATTTATTCTGAAGGCCTTAGATATTGTAGATTTTACATGAACATCAATATAAAAGAGAGTCAAAAAAAATTGCCCATAGAACTTTATTTCCAACTATTACTACTAAGTAAAAAAGAAACGAATAACGGCTTTACTGAGTCCGTCGCAAAAGTTATCGATTATTTACAATTATATTAATATTGTTATATTACTTGTAATATATATTTACATATATTTAATTTTAACATAGCAAAAGTTTATGTGTACTCAAATACACTGTTTTCTTAGAAAGGAGGACAAGTTTTTGGTTTGCACCGTAAAAATGGCGTCTCTGTATAAACTTAGATGCACAATTGTTGGGCATGATAATGATGTCCGAGCTCTCGCTACTTGTCCTCAACTTGGTGATACAATTATCTCTGGATCCAGAGATAGAACATCTAGAATCTGGACTTCCAAAGAGTAAGAGTGGATAATTATTTAATCTAAAATCTGACACTTGCATTTCATTAGAAACTAAACTGCTTCCTTTTTCTTTTCTTTTTTTTTTTTTGTTTTCGCGAATTATGATCAAAGATTATAGTTTTATACCTTTTTTCAGTTTTTTCTTATAATTTGTTGATATTAAACAAGAATTATTGACTTATAATTACCATTTAATTATCATATTTAGTCTAATTTTGGCAATCATATTTTTTCTTGCATTCACAGAAATGACGTGTGTAAAAATAAAAAAATAAAAAAATCTTTTCTTTTGATTACTTTGTAATTGTACTATTTGGTCATTCTGATTTCTTTTGTGTCATCGGAATGATTTACAAACATCATGTCTTTAACTTTAAAGTTAGTATTTTCAAATGCATTTTTAAACGAGTTTTTCTGTTTTGAATACAAAAGAAGACATTTAGTTGTTCACTGAAAATGAATTTAAAAAACTGGAATCGGAATTAAGTTTGTTAAAAAAAAAAAATATTTCCCCATACACCAGAATAAAATTTTATTTTTACCCCTTTTAGTTTCATATTTAAAAAAAAAAAAAGATTTAGTGTAGTAGAGGAAGTGAATACGGATATGTACGACGGTTACACATAAATAAAATTTCTTAAACAAAGAACTAAAAATTGTCTACAAGAAGTTTTTTTTTTTTTTTTTGCTTATTTCTTCTTCAGCGTTTGCATAAAAATGATAAAATTGTCTGTTTTTATTTTCAAAATTTTTCACATGTATACCAGTGATGTTAGTTATTGTTTTAAAAAGGGTCAAAACGGGTTGGTAGATTTATTTTTAAAATATTTCTTTTCTTTAACTTTATTTTGGATCGATTCATTGCTTATTTTTATTATTTTTCATTCAATTTTTTTATATTTCTCAAAAAGTGGGTGATTAAATATTTTTTTATTTAATTTTCATAAAATTTGTTAAGTCATGTGAAAATGGTTCTCTTCCTTTAACCCTTTTCCTATAATCGACTTCTTTAAAAATATTCAATAAACAGAAATCGTTGTAACTCTTTGTTCGATCTTTAATTTCATGAATTTGTTTGTCTGTCACCAAATCACGGAGTTGCAAAATTTGTTTAACGTGAAATAGGGTTTACCGTTTTAGTTTATTTATTTCACATGTATATGCTGCAAACACTTAGCGCACCCGAGTCGCCCACATTTGGGGCGATGGCAAAGGTCAACACAACCGGAGTGCAATGGAAGGGCCTCTCTCTGGGAGAACGGCCTAGCTGATCACCATTAACTGCGGCTGTCACGTCACAACAGATACCAAAAAAGAAAAAAATATCCCTCTCCCTCCAGTGTTGAAACATTATATTCTAATTATATAATAATTTATTATTCTGCTTGTACCTCATTAACTTAGTTACCACGTTCGTTAAGCGTTACACAAGAAGATAAATAAGGAACCATTTCATTTTAATTGCAAGAAAAGATTGAAGAAAAGGATCAGTGATGTTTCTTTTTCATAAGAAAAAGCAAACATGCATATTAATAAGAAGAAAGAAAGGAAAGATAAATGAGTTGAATTTAATGAATATATGTTTTGGTGAAATGGAAAGCCTTGTTAATTTTTAATCTTTTTTTTCACTTATACATTCTTTAGTCCTGGGTATAATGATAAACTACATCTGACAGCAAGACCTCTGATTGGGACGTTGGAGTGTGGAATCACCTCTTAATTGCTGTTGTTTGTAATTCCACCCTGAACCACCAAATAAAAACAAAACACTATGAAAATATAAAAATACATTTTTATGGTAAAAATACCAATAATACATTTTTATATTAAAAAAAATTTCCAAAAATACATTTTTAAAGCACAATGACCAACAATACATTTTATTTGTAGTTAAAGGCATATGATTGCATTCAAAATATATTTAGTTGAAGCCATAAAATTGTGTTTAAAATATTAAGATTTTGTTATTAAATAATCCATAGAGATTGATATTCTGCTAAACAAAAATCAAGCAAACTTCTTTAAATAATAACCGGAAATCATACTTTTGATTCTAATTGCAATATTTTGCTAAAGTTGTTAAACTCAAACATTTAACGATGCAATAGGGGAAATTCTATGAGTATTTTATAGTCCTGGAACTCACCAGGAGCATATTCAGTTATTAAATTAATAAGAATTATGATTCATTAGAAAATTCAAAGGAAAATTGAAATTTTCAAGGGTACTGCTAGTTGTATTAAATTTAAAATAGAGTTCAAGATATTTTATCTTTTTTTTTTAATTTTAGAATCAGGCATTAAAATATGAAATTAAGATAAAATTAGGAATTTTTTGCTATTGATATGTAACCTAATACTAAACTAAGGCTTATGGCCACATCATGTTGAAATATTGGTTCCCGTATGATCACTGAAGTTAAGCAGTTCAACACCAAACAAATAAGAATATGACCTATGCATGGCTTTTATGACAGACTCATTCATGGCTTATGTATAGTTTGTAATAGAAGATTTGCAACCATGTATAGCCATATATATATATATATATATATATATATATATATATATATATATATATATATATTTAGTTGGATTGATGTGAGTTTGTGACCCTGGGTTTCACGCTATTTATGATTGTCAGACAAACTGATTCATTTTTAAATTTTGGATTTACATATGGTTGCATATATCAGTGTTTTATGGTAGTGGGAAGAAAAATTGTTTTTGGAATCGATTCATACATATATATATATATATATATATATACATATATATAATGGCAATAAAGTCACTATACAGTTACTTAGAATGACAATAAAGCAATTAATCAGCAGTCTAGAAATTTATTAAAATTAAAATGCTTCTGGTTAATAACAATAAAATGTTATAGTAAACAATAGTAAATTATTTTACGATATTGTTTGAACTGCAAGCCTCCTGCTTCAATGCTTTAATTTTTATTATAAGTAACTGTATAGTGACTTTATTGCCACTCTGTGTATGTTGTATATATATATATATATATATATATATATATGCAACATAAAGTTGCAGAAGTTTGCAATACCTGGCTTGTGTATTTGTGGCAGGATTGCCATACCACATCAAGCAACTCCATCATACATCATCCAGGTTAGATTCAATGACTGTAAGCAAACTACTGGCTAGATCCTGAGTATATTGAAAGATAAAACAGGATCTGGGGAACTAGACTTGGTGGTCACTTGACCAGTACTCATTAGAGATAAAACAAGGTATGTTAAACTTGTTGGAGGCAACACAAATCCCATTGATGTTGAAGTCTTAATTGCGGACAGAAAGATGTTGGGATTTGACTTTCTATTGGACTTAATGTGGCATCATTAATAATGACATTATTTGTCAATACCATAATATCACAGAATGAATCTATCCACAACGTGGCATCAGCCTATATTGGCAACATTTTCATCAATGAGAATATGATGCTTGTGACCCATTAAGAGTACATTTATCAAAATTAGGACTAATGTGGAAAGGCCCAGGCCAATTGGAAGATGGTGTTTGACTGTGCAGCTGGATTCATGTGGCAATGGTGCTTATGAAATGCTGAGTGAATATAACTATATCTGGTTGGAATAATGAAGTGAATGATGCCCCCTTTCCCCATCCTTTAAGAAGAGGATAATGGACACTGTCAATAGGGGTACATCAAAATGATCCTTTGCAAATTGATTGGGGTGTAAATGGATGCAAATTCAATGTGTGGGTTGATATGAGTTCTCTGATCATTAGTCTCACTTGTCTGGGTAAAGGCTACACACAGTTGATGTTATCCTCAAATTCAGGCTGGGACAGAGTGACTTGGATTAACAATTCACACTCAGTATTGGTCAGCAGGATACCACATTATGTGAAAGAGCTTCATCCCATATTGGGGATGAGCACAATGACAAGTGAATGCAATTGCACACCATTTGGAGATCAATCAAGTTTTGAATACAGTGTCTGACAATTCCTTAGAAGCAGATGATTCAGATTCTGCCTCAAGTGCAAATGATGATTCCTCAGAAAACATTCATCTGAAAAAGAGGTAGGAGCTGCTCTTTTGTAAAGGAGCCTCAGACAAAAGAGATCGTCCCCACACTGTCACATTTGGGATTATGAAATCAGATGGGGAGTATAGTGGAAATATCATGAATATAGCAGAACAAGAATGAACTTACTGATCAGTGTCAAAAGAGACATTGAGTAGGCAACCACAATAAAAAAAGAAAGAGATGTATATTTGAATATTGATAGAATACTTCAGTATAAAAGAGAGCGCTTATTTGAGAGAACATTGATTTTTTTTTTCTCCTTTACCTGCCATGAGAATGTATCCAGTTTGTTTGTGAAAGCGAATCAAGTCTTTATGTTGTAGATACAAGGCTTGTAGCTGAAAGAACAGTTGTCAGTGTCTTTTCTCCCCTTTTTTTTCTGTTATAAAGTGCTTCATAGTGCTAATGATATAAGTAATGCTTCAGATACTTGTCATGACAACTGTATTAATTAGTCTGAAGACTGATTCCAAATGGCTTCTTCTTTTTACCTCTGACCTGGAGCTCTTTATTTATAATTATGGACTAGTTCATATAGTCACTGGAGGGTGTACTATTTACTCCACAAAATCCCCCCTTTTGAGATTAATACTTTTTATCAATATTTTATTTTTTTTTTATTAGTATTAGTATCTCTTTCTCCTCTTTCTGGACACTTCACCGATATATGTGACTTTGTAGCGTTTCCGTCTTGGATCCACTTCCAGTTTTTCACTATGCTTGCTTTTTCTGGAATTTGTCCTTGTAGGTTCCATGACTTGTTGTGGTGCTGGCATATCAAAAACATCATATAGCATTTTTATTGGTTCTTCCAATGTTCCAGGTCTTTCATGAATAAACATTTTTTTCAGCTGATTATGGTGCCTTTTATGTTCAAATCTTTTCCCTTTTACCATGTAAATCAACTCCCTGATTC